GCACCATCAAGCTTCCAGTTTACTACTCGTTCAACAAGTACAACTTGATGCAACCTCCGAGGTGACAGTGCACAGTTTTCATGTTGTCATGAGCACCATAATTCCTGGAACTCGCACTACAAGCCCCCGAACGACGACTAAACAGCTAAGAAGCCGAAACGACCGGCGGGAAAAGAGCTGTTTGGTGATTGGTGCTAAGGAAGTCGGGGGCAAGTGCAATCAAACGACACGTTGCTACAGCAGAACATTCCTTATTGCACGTTCCTTCACTCACCCGTTCAACCCAAAAAATGGACGCTACATTTCCCGGGAGGTCGGAGAGGGAGTAGATAACAGAACAGAGGTATGGGTTGGACAGCCCGATATCGGCAAAGACCTGGTTGTTCCACGTGGCTACCCCATACGAGCCGTAGCTCAACGTGAACCACACGACGACCAGCACGATCGTCGCCCTTTGGAGTCTCGCATCGTTCCCCGGACAAAGGATTCGCATCACGCCCCCGTCTCGCTGGTCCTTGGTACTGCTGCTTTCGCTGCCTCGACCAATTTCATCTTCGGGGTTGTTGATCATGGCAGAGATCTCTGTAATCTGATCTGGCGCAATCCCTGGTGCGCTTTGATACAACCCCCCGCCCAAGCTGCACCGCCAGGATTGCGGTACACTTGCGAAGCTGAGGCCGGGTCTCGTAGTAGATCTATGTTGAACGAAGCCCGAAGGTAGATGAACGGGAGCATTCGTCATCCGTTGCAAGACGGCCCTCATCTCCTCGTATCGGCCTGCGAAAGTTAGGTGCGGTAGTGATCGCTGCAGGAAAGTTATCTCTGTTTCAATTACTGCAATGCCGTATCAGCAGAGATGGCGTCGAGTTTCCAAAGCCAGCGAAGAACAGAGAGTGAAAAGATGAAGGGCGCAGATTGACTATGGTAAGCACAGCCTCCATGGTCTCCATCATCCCCAGCCACAGATCATCTATGTTCCGCCCATTCAGCCCAAACATCCCAACCAGGAAAACGCCTTAAGGGCCGTTCACAGTTTTTTTTTTCACTTTTCAATTTTTTCGCCAACCAACGGGGGCACAAATATTGCGGGGGGGGGGGCGTACTCTTATGTTTTGCATGTCTTAGCGGTTAGACCATTGACCACGCGTCCCTTTCGAGACAGAGCACCGTTCCTACCCCTACTAGAGACACCACCAACATTTGGGAGCTCGTTACGTTTCTGCCACAAACTACATAAGAATTTCTTGCACATCTTATCCCCGTCCTCTACGGCCTCTTGTGCCCACCATCTATCCCCAATTACCGCGATCGTTTTTTCGCTGTTGTCTAATTTACCAAACTTGTCCATGTCACACCCTCTCTGTCTCATGTCCTCCTCGAGATCCTCTCTTTCCCTCCTGTACAGCTCACACTCCCCGACTATGTGGGGTCCGCGCAGGGGGGA